AGGCTGATGGCCCCACAGGCCCGGCTCCTCACAGCCGCCCTGTGGTGTTACTGCAGTTTCTTAGGTGCCAGGCATCGACGGTCCAGGGGAGCAGCTGCTTGTAGAGCAAAGGGACCTGCCCTCAACCTGGCACTGCTGCCGAGCTTGGTGACCACCAGGGAGGGTGCCCCCCACTTTTCTCCCTGAAAGCACACGATGACTGCATTGGAGATGAGCAGGATCCTGTGACTTTGGCCTGGCCGGGACACAGTCGCACTTCTTTGGGGAGCTGTGCTGATAGAGCTGACAGGGCACTGACTTCGCACACAAACAGTTCCTCCTCCACCAGCATCCATGTGTTAGCTGTTACCTTGAAAATTTTTAGCCCTTCTGATCAAAAGTTGCCATGTATTATGTTTTGAAAATTAAGTACCAATAAACGTTTCTAAGAAACTTTGAGCCTCAGTTTACTTTAGCATTTTTAAATAAAATTATTATAATATCTACATATCTAATTATAATGAAATTAAAATTCTATTGCTGTTGTAACCGTCAACGCATAATGATATTGGCAAGAAAAACAACTGGGCAGTGCCTGCCAGGTACCTTCCCATTCAAGGATGGTTTATAAGATACTTTGTTTTTCACAAAGGTCTACAAACGGGAGTCTTTCCAGGGATTGGTATGCCCCAGGCAACAGTGTCATCCCTATTCACCTTGAGTCCCCTCAGGGCAGCAGGTCGAAGGTCTTTGATATGCTCAATCCCTCCAGGTAGCTTTGGATTCTCCTCTTTAAAAAGCAATTTAATCTCGCAGCAATGAAAAAATAGTATCATTAAGGATCAATATTACATTACTTGTCAATTTAGTGATTCTGGGCCCCCTGTCATTCTAAAAAGGATTAAAGTGGGCCTGTGACACCTACGTATTTCCCTCTCCTCATCACAGATCTATCTAGCCCCTGCTTTGTTGGAAGGTATAAAACTAAAGATCTGGAAAATGTTAAAATGTATCTTAACTGCAGAGATCATTCCTAACGCATATTTCAGAGTACTATCCTCACATACTGCCATCTATTTTTACTCCCATCTAAGGATTTCTAAATGCCATGATGTAGTTATGTTGAGCAATTTACGCTTAGGAAAACAGAAGCCTGAAACCAGGTGAGATAGCGAACAGCTTCCTATGTGGCCTGGAACATAAGTTGCACTTTTTTAAAAAAAAAAATTATCTTTATTGTTTAGTGTTACAGATGTCCCCTTCAATACTGTCGAAGTGGCCTGGCAATGCTGGTTGCTGTCGGGTCAGGAATTTACATGGCTTCCTTGGGAAAGATGATCCAAGTACCTTTAGAAGCAAGCTCAACTCAGTAACTGATAAACACAATAAAGTTTATAGAATTTTTAGAACCTGTAACAAAAATTCGTGAAGACAGAAGTGTGATAGACTGGCCAACGGCTGCCTCCCACCCCATACTTTTGTACCAGGTGGCCACCTGCCCCATGACGCCCCTTCCCCACTACCTCTTGAACCAAGGAACACAGAGCCTGAATCAGTAAGACGAAAACAGGTGCATTATCTGGATGGTCAAAGGCACAGCCGGAGCCAGACCCCAAACCAGATCAGAAGTCACATGGTACCTGGAGCAGAGAAGCTAAGGAGCACATGAAGCAGGGCCCTGGAGAAGGGCAGCAATTGGGAGTAACTCGCCCAGAGGAGCAGTGACGAGGGACCTTGAGGCCCAGGAGAGGCTGAGAGAACGCCCAGTTCCAGGGCCACGCAGCCTGGTTAGATTTTGTTTCCCGCCTTTACGGAGACTCCCTGATGTATCCTTGGGGGAAACCCACTTTTATGTCAGCTAGCTTGAGGTTTCCTTTTTTGTAACTCAAGAATACCTGACTCAGGGATCCCTGGCTCAAAGAGGGCAGGAGTGCCTGCAGGGCTCACCATGTGACCCTGGAGCCTGAACCAGTTGTTTGCCCAGCTGTTCTGCTGCATTGCGTTTAGTAATATTCAACTTACCTGTGATCACAAGGCCGGTGGTCTACTGAAGAAAGCTTCACACACCTTTCTGATTCAGGCCCACCCATGCACACATGTGCGCGCGCGCGCGCGCGCGCACACACACACACACACACACACACACACACACACACACATTTACTGATTGATTGATGCTACCTAAAAATGCCTTCACCACACTAGTATTGTAGGGTTGTTCTTTTCCTTTCTCTAAACAATATATTTTTTTTACAATTTGTTTTACATCCTACCAAAAATTTAACATTTGAAGTTACCACTCAGAGTACAGATTCATAAGCATGTTTTTTTCAGATGTCAACTTTAATGAGAAGAATGAGGAAGAATATCTTTAAGTCTAAAAAGAAAAGAATACCTGACTGAGAAATGCCTAATCCTCTCTGCTGTGGACGAGGTCACTCACTGAAGACAGCGAGGTCACCCTGCAGGCAGTGAGCATTCGGTTCTAGAACCCAACTTGCCTGATTCCTAATTGTGCTATGCTACCCGGTCTTGTTGCACTGAAAAAGTTAGGTTGGAAATATTAAGCAACATACATGAACAGTGGCTTGGATTGTTATGGAAATCCTAAATGAAACCAAGTTTGTCCCACAAAAAAATGCTCTGCTTCAAATGCTTTTCTGGTGGTCCGACTCGGCCAAGGTTTACGCTTCCAGCCAAACATAGAGTGGCCTAAAAACCATCTGTGCTCAAACATAATCGACACCCTACTTCTTGGTGAGGTCAGGCCCGGCGTGAATACCCCATTTCCCTTCCTGGCTTGCATTGGAGTGTTCACATACATATACCATCAGTTTAAGCCTAATTTAACATTATTGTTAAGTTTTCTTCTACAAATATTACCTTTAGACATTATTTTTAAGCCTTGAGGAGGGGAAGACAGTGGAACTGCTATAAGAACAACAGAAGAAGGCATCATAGGAGGCAGCTTCCTATTGACAGGGGACGCGTTTCCTGCATGAACTCTGAGTGCAGTGAAGGAGATAGTGTGGGTAATGGCTCCTCATATACCTGGATACTATGCCACCTGCAAGATGGGACACAAAAAGCAAAACCCTGATTGGAGTGAGTATTAATATGAGCCAGGAGCCTCTATTTTTTTAATCTTTGTTGAATGTTAAAAATATGGAAAGCAGACACAAAGGTTATTATTCTGAACACTGAGGAATATGCACTGTCTAGCATTCCACATTATGAGCTTTCTAAATTTGGAATTAGGTTGTCTGATAGGCTGCATCTGAAAGATTAACCTGGTTTCCGGGTAGTCTCCGTGACCCAGACTTCAGGGTAGGTTGGTCTGAACTCCCAAATGTTGTGCATTGGCTAAAAGTGAGCTCTAAAGATTTTTCCTAGGATTGGTTTTCCAGTAATTCCACCAGCTAAGCAGGTTTAGCACTTGGGAAAAGCATAGAAACCAATATACACATAAAAAATATGTAGGTTTGTTGGAATTAAAATTTGTCAACCAAGAATAGATCTCTATTACTAAAGTTTTGGTATACCTTCAGAAAAAGTTTAAAGTTTGGTTGAATTCAGCCAGAATTAAAGATACCAAAATAATATGCTTGTTTTGTTTGTATTTTAAAGAAACACTAAAAATTAAAATGAAATCCCTGTTATAAATGATAGAATATCACATATACACTGAAGAGTATATCTTTTACAGTTCAGGAAAACTCAATTCTTTTACATAGTTGTAACAGAATTAACTATCTGGTTTGAGAGAACCAAAATTAGGTACAGCTTTTAATGTGCTTAAATAATTTTACATTATTCAAATGTTTTCAAGGAGTCTACTGGCCTGAAATAAAAATATTCTGATATGTTGATTCAGAATTAAAGGTTATTTTCACACTCTCCTTTATCTGACTTCTGAGACTGTACATATTTCCCTGAGACACCTATGTGCTATGTTGGTACACTGCTAAATACCATGTAAGAGAAAGTCTTAGTTGTGAAATCACAGTTGGCCTCTAACACCATTAGACTCTAAAGGAAATACAGTGCCTTGATTCTATGATTCGAGGCAGGGAAGAATATCAAACTGGGTCTAGAACATGCTGCTATTTTCAGATAGCATGGATGCTCTTAGCAATGTCAGGCATGAAAGAACGCTGGTGTCAGCATAAAGGACTTCCTATTGACCCAGTTGTGAGACTTTGAGTATCAAATACAAAGACAGCAAGGTAGTCATAACACAAAAGCAGACTGTGATACAAGTTTAATTTTTTAGCAAATAGGTGAGTGTTCACACTGAATATTTTATTACTTCTAATAATTATGTCTATAATATTTACATATGTAGTTATTTTTATCTGGGTAAGCACTGAAGAATAAACACATGGAACTGTAACTTGGCCAAATGATCCTGTCAGAAATTACTAAAATAAAAAATAGGGTGGCTTCATTAGCACAAATATAGGAAATGTGCTGAGTACAAGTAATAACCAGGTAGAAAGTGACATGGTGGTCAAATACAATCACTAAGAAAGAGAGACAATTTAACACTGTATTGTAAAATATGAATTATTTAATGTCCTAGAGACAAGTTAACTGCATAAACCAAATTCCTTATTGCTAAGAAATAAAAGCTCTAGAATCAAGATTCCTGATAAAGAACACAACATTTTCTTTCTTTCCTTTTTTTTTTTAAATATTGTTATTGATTCAGAGAATAAGGGAGAGGGAGAGAGACATAGAACCATCATTGATGAGAGAGAAACACTGATTGGCGGTCTCCTGTACACCCCCCACTGGGGATTGAGTCCGCAACCCAGGCATGTGCCCTGACTGGGAATCGAACCATGACCTCCTGGTTCATAAGTCAATGCTCAATTACTGAGCAACACTGGCCAGGCAGGAATAGAACCATTTTAAATGACAAAAAAGAACAGGTCAAAGTACCCTAAATGATAAGCCAAGAGGTTAGGTGTTATCATCTATGTAAAGCTTAATACATCATTACTGCAAAAGACACCAAGTTTCAAAGACAAAAATTTTTAATAAAGGTATTTAAAAAGTTTACAATAAAGCAAAACAAAACAGTCAGCCCCACACTGTGGCTCAGGTTTAACTGAATTACCCTAGTCTACACAATCAGAACCAGTCCAGTCCAAGAATCAACTAGTCAATAACCCAAATTCTTTCCTTTTCCCTTAAGTTCTAGTAAAAATACTAAAACCCAGGAAAGTATTAATATCGAAAGGTTAGGAATATACTACACTAAGACTCATACTAAGTATGAGGTTATTAACACAGAAATAATAAAGAAATGTTCAAAACCATAGTCTTGATGTTTTAGAATATGTTTAAGAGAATGTGCGATAAAAATTATAAATCACTGCTTATGTATGTCTTTTATCAGATGTTTGAGGTGTTTAAAGATTTCAAAAGACTCATTCATACTAAGTTTGTACTCATAGCTTAAAATTTTTCAGAAAATTTAATGAGTCACTTTTGGAATTAATGCTTAAATAAATGCTGAAGAAAAACTCGGGTACCTAATTTTTTCTGTGTAAATTTAATGCAATGATCATTAAACAAAGTACATACAGTTTTGAGTATTTTGCATGTCTAAAAATCCCTCAGACAATGAATCCATTTTTTTTTTTACAAATTCATACTTCAGAAGATAAATCCTGCAATTGTGAATTCCTAAGAGCCTCTGCTAGAATTCAAAGAAAGAGTGATTTTCAAGGACTTAAGACACAGCTTGGGTTGTCTATTACTACCAAATACAGTCATTTGTTTGGATTTAAAGACAAATAAGTCACAATAGTAGGAATCACATTTCCATATTAACTATTTGGGTAGATGCCATGATATATGATTGGGACAGCTGCATACTCTCTTTCCTTCCAATGACAAGACTGAAGTTGTGTTGAAGGGAAGTCCCCAAAAGATAAAAATAATCTGAAGCACAAAATATTGGCTGAAGGAGGAAAGAAAAATTCAAAGGCCACTACTTCAGAAAGCTATTTGATCAGTTGCCAAATCTTTAGGAATACCATGGAATTGTGAGGTGCCTCTCAAAGAAAGAAAAGCATTAGTCACCTTTACTCTTACACATAACACAAAAACAATATTAGAAAAATCATACAATTTTGTCAAATCATAATAAATACTCACCATACTTGGCACATCATGGGTTTTTAAAAAAAAAGGAAAAAATAGAGGAGTTCACCTATCTTGTTAGCTCTATGAGTGCTACTATCCTGACATTTGTTCCAGAGTGAATGAAAGAAGGAATCCTGGGAAGACCCACCCCTTAAAAACAAAACAAACAAACATCTTTGGGAACGCAAGTATTCCATTCTGCAAAATTACGCACAACGTCAATTCAATCCAAGGGCTGGTATCACATAAATCTATAATGATTAAACAACTTGATGAATCATGAAGATAAACCTGAAATTACAAAATGTGATTGGGGAGCTGGTATTTAGAATGGCACTCAATATGGCCAATAGTCTGGACATATATAAATAACATGTAGGTATCCCAAAGGTAATGTGTCGAGTTGGGAAAGATGAAATTTGACCAGCAAGCTTTCCATGATTATGGCTTTTTTCTCATTTCTTCATCCCAATCAAAATCTAATGCTTCGTCTTCTAGTTCTGGTAAAGTAAAGAGAGACTTTTTGGAAAGACTGAGTTTCTCAGGGGGCTCCTCCAACTGAAAAGTTTTCCTTTTCCTGCCAAGCATTGTAGCTGTGGTCGTGGGAGGCGGGCTTGGGCCTCTCTCACCCGAGTTCATACTTTCAGAAGGAGGCAGGGATGCTGATTTGGATTCAGGGGAGGAAGTAAAGGAGAAGTTGGCCAACTTGGCTAATGTGCAAGCATGAACCTTGCTGCTTTTATTACTGCACGAAAGCCCTTCCTTTTTGTCTCTTTCACCAGTGAGATGCAAATGCCCAGTCTCGTTCCCAGGCTCAAATTCAGGCTGAATATCTCTCTTTCCAGGGCCACATGCCCTCTCCGCTCTTGACCTGTCTTTCCCTGATGACTGCTGTGACACCCCCATTGCCCTCCCCTGCAGCAGATCTGAGCCTCCCTTTCCTGAGGTCAACTTTCCTGGACCCTTCACTGACAGAGCTGCTTCTCCTCTTGTTCCATGCTGGGAAATTTTTGGACTCCGAACTGCTAGGTCAGTTCTGCCAGGAGACACAAGGCTTTGGTCCTCAGGGGAGTGGATCAGTTTTGACTTCTGTTTGAAAGTAAATTTTGCTAGTTTGGCCACAGGGGCACCCGAACTCTCAACACTTTCAGGTTCAGGCTCTTCCACCTGAGGGAGGGACTTCTGTCTCTTTCTTTCTGGGCCACGTACAGGGATGGATGGAGGATGAGGAGGGCTTATGGGCTGTGAAGGCGGCCTGGCAGGATTGCCGTACAATTCCTGGGCCCTCTCCTTGCGCAGCCTGTGCAGTTTCCTGGGGACATGATGAGTCAGCACCGAGTCTGGTTCATCAGCAATTCCTGCTGTTTCAGAAACTGCTGCTGCCTTTTTTCCCTTTTTCCCCTTAACACTCTCTGGCCTCAATGGAGCTCCTGTCTCTCCTGGTGCTGGAAGCAGTCCAGTTTCCAATTTGCTCCTTTGGTCTGACTCCCTCTCTTCCTTACCCTGAGATGTGTTGTTGGATTTTTTCAAAACCATTTTCCGCTCAGTTGTTTTGGGACCAGGAGACACAGAAACGGTGTTTTTCGGTTCAATCTGATGAGTTGTCAGGGAGTCAAACCAATCCAAACCAGCATCTCTGCTGTCGTGCTGAGCTGAATCTTTTCTACATGCTGACCTATTAGGCCCCAGGTGGGGTGGAGGGTCGAGAGGTGGGCTTCCCCTGGGACTGCCTCCGGTAGAAGAGGAAGGGATACCACAGTTCACTTCCTGCTGTGTTGACGTTCTGAATTTGGATTCTCCTCTTGGGTCACGTCCCGAGGACCCTGGAGTAGTCTCTGCCTCTGTCCTTGGCTGGGATTGGTACACACTCTGATTCTGTAACCTGTAGCAGAAATAAGGAAAACATGTATTGAAGGGAAGGAAATTTGCTTTACCCTTTTCATTTCTTTAGTGTGTGAGATGCCATCGAAAGGGATAAGTCCAACATAATTCCAGGTTAATGCCAAATACAGTCTCTAAAAACAGCAAGAGGGAATTATTTGTTTTCATTAGAATAGAGATTAAGTGATCTGATAATCATTCTAATTTAACCTTAAATTGAAGTAAAATTAAAAAAATGAAGTACTGAGTTTGCCTACATTTTCCTTCTCTCTGAAAGTCCACTTAATTCATTTAAGATAGTTTGAAGGTCAATGTAAAAATGCTCAGTCTTATCTCTCGTGTAATATGTATAACTACAATACAGACTGCTAGCTATCTGCACAGTAGCTTATTGCTGATCAAGAAAGTAGCTCTATCTTGTTGGTGTGGCTCAGTGGTTGAGTGTTGACCTATGACAGGGGTGGGCAACCTTTTTGTGAGTGCGTGCCAAAATCAACAAAATCTCTGACTCAAAATTCTTCTGCATGCCAACCCTAATTTTTTGAGAACATGTTATACCTACTTGATATCTCTTAAGGTGTGCATATGTGAAGAACCTTGAAGAAATAATAAAATTCATTCGAGTGACAAAAACACAGTATATGATGATGAAAAATACATTTATTTTTTAATGTATACATGTACACTGATAGTCCGACAGAAAACTTTATGACTCCGTTTGATATTATCAGTGGGAATTTTGCTGCTGCATCACTGATGACAGAGATATTACATCAGGTTTATATTTCGTGACCTTCAGAGATATGCACGAGCTACTACTTTCATCCGTCAGGCTACTCCTATTACGAGACTTAACAAAATTCATCACTGAGAACAAAGATTCACAAGCGTATGTGGATGAAACCAAAACACTGGTCGGATCTAGGAAGGCAGGGAGAGTTAAGGCAGAGGCATAGAAATTGTTCTTCCCCTCTCTCGTCAATCCATGTCTATGTCTTTAAGGTAACTTGTTATGTAAAATTATTTATTTATCTAAGATGCACCTACACTGAATTTATCTGAAAATAAAAAAGTTGATATTAAGAAAAAAATTGTAAATGGAAGATTATAAGAGAGGGTTTCGTGTGCCAGCAAAAGTTACTGGCGTGCCATGTTTGTCACGCGTGCCAGGGGTTGCCCACCCCTGACCTATGAACTAGGAGGTCATGATTCGATTCCCAGTGAGGGCACATGCCCAGATTTCGGGCTTGAGCCCTAGTAGGGGGTCAAGGAGGCAGCCGATCAATGATATTCTCTCTCTCTAATCATTAAGTTTCTATCTCTCTCCCCTTCTTCCTTCCTCTATGAAATCAATAAAAATATTTTTTGGGAAAAAATCCCACAAAAAACCAAGTAGCTTTCTAAGTTACTACTATCTAGTATACTTTCAGCAGCAAGTTGAGGTCAGGGATACTAGGAATTATTAAAGCTCCATAACAATGTCCTATAAAACAGGAAGTTTTCAGGGGTAGAATAACAATTTAGCCCACTATTTTAGTCCAATTCTGACTTTGGGAATTAAATTCTCCCCTACATAAAAAGTCTGCAGTTTTACTATAACTTCCTAAGATGGCATCTTTGCACTCTGATTAGAGGTGGGTAGAATGGCCACCATTTGAGGCAGGATGTCACTAAAAGCATTTTCCAGAAGAAAAGTGTGATAAAAATACAAATAGTTTTATGATTGATATGTGATCTCCTTAAGGAATAGAGAACCCTTACCTAAGGGGAAATACCGTATGCTACTTGGGGCTTTAGACTGTTAAGATTAGCTTTAGATTGTGTTCTAGAGGTAATGCACTTTCATCTGTGGGGCACCTGGTTTTGTTGCTTTGAGGATCAATACCCAACAGGCCTCTACATTACAAAGAGATACCAGAAGAAAACATTTTAAGGCCAAATCCTATCTTTCAGATCATCACCTACTCTTTTTTTCCTCTTCCCCCTTTTTTCCTTGCAGGAGAATCGTTCTGAACTTGGATAGTCCAATTGCTATTTTTCCATCACGTAACTGATTCTGAGCCTCGAGTTCCTTCCCTTCCCGAATCCAACGTGTTTTTGGTCGTCAAAATGATCCATTTATGGTCAGTCTAAACAAGCAGTGTCTCCAAAAGCCAAGGCAAGCCCAGGGCAGGCCTGAAAAGGATCTGCGACATCAAACCATAAAAGAACCAAAGGAATCGCTTTGATCTTAACACTATGCTCTGGGCCATTAAAAAACCAGGAGACCAAAGACAGGGGATTGATTTTATACAAAGTGCAAGTTTACCGCAGGCTGGCACCTGGTGCATTAGTAGGACAAAGCCAGCCCCACACGTCCCCAGGAAGGCTGTGCTGAGCTTTATAAATTAGAAAGAGAATTCTGTTGGATGAAGGGAAGAAACAAATAGGAGAGAAAGCCAGGAAAAGAATTCTCAGTGTTTTACTTAATACAGTCAGCAATCCCACCAGGGCCCCACATTCTTCTTCTGCAGCTGTTCCACTTCCTCACGCGCCCCATTCCCAGACCCCAGCTTTGAGAGCAACACCAATAACCAGATTCAGGTCGATTATCCAGCCACTCAACTGATCATGCAGATACTCAAATGGATACACTCGCCATTCCTCACTCCTGCTTCACAGGCACAGACTCACAGTCTAGCTTTTTAGAAGCTCATCTATATGGGGACATGCAACATTCAGTTCCAGGCAACAGTTCTTCAGGTGATGCGCTTTCCTTCCCAGACATCCGCACTGTAACAAGTCCTTAAAAAGGGGAGTTTTGAAACACTGCTGTTGTCATTCCCGAGTTGTTTGGATGTTCCAAACCAGTAGGATGATCTCCCTCTTTAAAATAAAATACATCATTCTCACTGAGGATTTTTTAAGTCTATTAGATATGTAAATTTTTAAAGGTCATGGATTTGGGCATGCAGCAAAGGAAAACTGCCGCTGAGGAACCAGGTGGAGGTCAGTATAATTATCTCTATTTCTAACTTGCCCAGCACACTAGCTTAGGCTGGCCTAAAACCATTCTGCGCCTCAGTCTTCTACCTGTCAATTTCTTTCACCAGGGTTACCTAAGGACTAATATCAAATATTTATTATGTTTGGAAGAGAGCTTTAGAAACAATAAGAATAAAATTAAAATATTAATAAACACTAAGATTCTTTATATAAGCTCCCTTGCACATGTCCTCTCCTGGTGAGGAAAGATGGTAAGGCCAAGTAGATATTTTGTGTTAGGGTCTGGGCTGAGATAGATGGCTCCTGGAATCTAACTTCCTCTTTCTTAATAGCAGTCCCAGCGCCTTGTTGCTCTAGTTTGTACATGGAGCCAACGAAAGAGAAGAGGAAGAAGTGGTGAAAGCAAACATGATAGAGGCCACTCACCAAGGTGTCTTGGTTCCGCAGCAACTGTGCATACTGGGTGTGAACTGTAGGTAGCTTACCTTAGTGCTTCTCACGTAATTGAGACCCAGTGCTATACATTTTACTACACAGAGTAAATTTATATATAGTTTACAACATCGATATAGCAAACAACCAGTCAGTGTTCTCCATGAGGCTCACCAAAGCAGCAAGTCAAGAAGATGTAGCTTTGGAAGGTGGTCTCTAAAGATGGCAGCCATCAATTCCTCCGTTCCCGTATGTCTGTGCCACACCTCCCATCACCCAGTGGTGTCTATTTCCTTTCACTTTGCTTGTGGGGTGACCTTGTGACTTGCTCTAACCTACAGCACGTGGCAGAAATGATTCTGCTCTAGTCCTGGCCCAGCCCGTAAGAGGCCTGGCAGCTCAGGCTCTTGCTATACTGGAGTCCTAAGCTACCATGGCAGAATTCTGACTACCCTACAGCAGAGAGAGCCCAGCCAGCTCCCAGACATTTATGCCACCCAGTGAAGACATCACACATGTGATGGAAGTATCCTGGATGATCCAAAACTGGCTGAGCTGCCAGTTAAACGCAGGTGTGTGAGTAATTCCAGCTGCTACTACGTTGATTAGAGATGAGCCATCCCTGTGAGACTCCTGAATTTTTGTCTCCTAGGATCCTGGTCGGCAAACTGCAGCTCGCGAGCCACATGCGGCTCTTTGGCCCCTTGAGTGTGGCTCTTACACAAAATACCACGTGCAGGCGCGCACGTACAGTGTGATTGAAACTTCATGGCCCATGCGCAGAAGTCGGGTTTTGGCCTGGGCGAGTCTGTTTTGAAGAAGTACTGTTGATATTTGGCTCTGTTGACTAATGAGTTTGCCGACCACTGTCCTAGGAAAATGAGCACTATAATGGGGTGATGTCTTTTTTTAAGCCACTGAGTTTTGGGGTAGCTGATTATAAGCAATAGTGAACTGAAACAATCCCCTTCAGATAGCACAGACAGATTTTCCACTTAATGCATACTTCCTTTGTTTCACTAAATGCCAAATAAAGATTTCCCATTACATGCCTATCTTGGCTTTCTTTTCTCACCTTTCAAGTCTTCTTAGCTCTTCACTCAGGAGGTTGTGCAACTCCAGCTTTTCCAGAATAAGTTCACACTGCCTCTGGTACTGCTCCAAAGGGTTTTCAGGAAAGGAAGTGTGGAGTGCGTTCACGCCTCCCAGCAGTGCGCCTCCCTGAGGGTGAGGAGTGGAGAACACCAGGGAGTTACCAGGCCAGCCTGCAGAGAAGTCCACACTAGGCGCCACTGGTCCCAGATGGCTGAGCCCAGCCCTCCACGCTCCCACCTTGAATTAGAATCACCTGGGCATTTTTCAAATTTCAATAATCTTCTCCCCCGGTTCTTGCTGGCAAGCATTGCTCTGCGAAGCCACGCTCTCACTAGTAAGACCATGACCATCCCTCAGGTATGTTAAGGAGAAGATGGACTGAGACCCACCACTTTGCACCGATGGGAAAAGCCATTATACTGAGGCAGAGAATGTTTTCATGACAGTATTTTTCCTTCTTTTAAATGGTTTCCTTTCGATATATTTCCAGAAATTATTAGGTCTGGAATATAATCATTTAAATAATAGCTCCTGATATGCTACAAACTGTCTTTTATTTGATGCCTGTGACTACAGTTCATATATTAGCACCCAATGCCCTCACCTGCATGGAGGACTCCATGACTGACACCACTGTAATAGCGTCTTCCAGAGTCACAGTGTCACGAAACATCAGACGAGCATGAGCTGAGAAAACAAGGGGCATTTTAAATCATGAAGACAGAAATGCTTAAAATAAATATTGGAGGTGATAAATGCAGTACTCTACTTGATCCCCCTCAAAAATTTGTATGTTATGAATGAGCTACTAATAACAAATTAATTTTTCCCAGAACAGGCACAAAAGTCTAAGTTCAACTCGCTTTAAGGCTGTTCCTGTAATAAAGGGCCACATCCTTCTGCACAGCCCATGGCAACTCTGTGTATTTCCATGAAAAGCACTCTGGGCTCCAGCAAAGAAAGGGGCTACCTAAGCATATGTTTAATATTCAACAGCTTTTAATCCTCACTTTCTAGTCTATTATAGAAACACACAAAATTAAACTCATTTCTCATCTCTGGCAATTTTCTTTATCTGTGAGCTTTTCAAAACTACCAAACTCATGAGCATAAAATTTATGTATTTCTTGCTCTAATATTAGCTACAAATCTTTAAAGAAGTGCATCCATTTTATAGAACTTTTTATTAAGCATACATAATGTTATCACATGGTATAGTCAGTTCATGTTAAATTTTTTATTAAAACAAGGGCTAAATGTAAAAGCCAATGTTAAAGAAAACATCTTGAGATGCATGTTAGCTGCAAGTCTGCATGTCTCTCATGCCTTAGGGATGGGCTAGGGCAGTGATGGCGAACCTTTTGAGCTCGGCGTGTCAGCATTTTGAAAAACCCTAACTTAACTCTGGTGCCGTGTCACATATAGAAATTTTTTGATATTTGCAACCATAGTAAAACAAAGATTTATATTTTTGATATTTATTTTATATATTTAAATGCCATTTAACAAAGAAAAATCAACCAAAAAAATGAGTTCGCGTGTCACCTCTGACACGCGTGTCATAGGTTCGCCATCACTGGGCTAGGGCCTGGCATTATTAATTTGGTGTCATTATGTTAGTGGTGGGTTGCTACATAGGAAACAATTCCAAACAAGGCAGTATCTCACCCAAAATGCTAACAGACTGCCACTGAGAAATAAAACCTTAGTAAATAAGACCTAACTGAATGACATCTTAAGTTATAGGAGCTATCGCAAAGCCTGAGCTATCACAAAAATTCCTCTTTCTTAATGACACTACATTTCACTCAACACCCATAAATGTCCCAGAAGAGTGGAGGCTTCATAGCTCAGAGCCTTTACTTTAATAAGCACCTGTGAGCACCTTAGAGTAGGGATTATTCATCTTTGAGCTCATGGTGTCACCCCCCATTCCTTGTACATAATGGGAACCCAATAAAAAAATTCATTTGCTGAATGAAATAAACCTTCTGCTAATCGTATCAAGCTCTCCAACAGGCGGATGGTTGTCCGGGCGGCGTTCCGGGAGTCACTCTGCCGCTGCATCTGGTAGTACCGGAGGAGAACCTGATTGCCCACGTCAGACAGCGTGGGCTGAAGGTTCCTAATGAGGCTGAAGTAGGTTTTCATCTTTTCCATGCTCCACAGCTTCTCTGATTTGCTTGGGTAACCTGTACATATTAGGTGTGGGTCAGTAATTTCTAAGACAGGCAAACATCTCATTTTAAAGGCTTTGATAAAGTTTTTATACTCTTTATTTTTTTAAATAAAGTTCTAGCTTAAGGCATGCTGGCCTTCCCAATCATCCCCTCAAATATGACAAGATTTTTTTTTTTAATTTTAGAGATTGGAAGGGGGGCGGGGAAGAGAGAGAGAGAGAGAGAGAGAGAGAGAGAGAGAGAGAACATCAATGAGAAACATTGATTGGTTGCCTCCTGCACACACCCCGATCAGGGATTGAATCTGCAACCTGGGTATGTGCCCTGAACAGAAATCGAACCCACCACCTCTTGGTGTATGGGATAATGCTCCAAGCAACTGAGCCACACTGGCCAAGGTCTTATATGTTTTTAAAAAGGATGAGCTTTAGGTTGGTGGCCATTGAAATCTAGACCTGTTTCTGCACAGCATATACTAGTAGTGCCAGAACAAACAGTCTTAGGATCTAAGATTAATAAAGGTAAGCTTCCTACAGGGGTTAATTCTGAATAATTCTGGTCTACCCTATAGTATCCTATATAATAAATGCCCAATATGCAAATTGTCCCCTCAGGCGATTGTTTGACGGGGAGTTCAACTGCTTGCTATAATGTGCACTGACCACCAGGGGGCGGTGCAGAACATGGTGGGCGCTGGCAGCAGGCGGCAGTGGAGGCGCTGCCAGCCTTGATGGGCTCCGATGAGAGTAGGACTGCAGCAGGATGGTGGAGAAGATGAGCAGGCGGCACCAGGTCAAGGTGGATGGGAGCGAGGGCCTGATGGCCCTGCCAATTGCCCCACAGACAGCAACCAGCAGCAGTGGGGGTCAGGGCTGCCGTCTGGCTCCCAGGTGCTGAGGAAGCCGGGCAGGGGGCCCGGCCCCGATTGATCGCCTTGCAGGCAGGATGGTGGAGCAGGGGAGCGGGTGGCACCAGGCCAAGGCGGGGTGTCAGGCGGGGCTGTGGGGCTGCAGGGCTGGGGGTGCGAGCTGGGGCTGTGAGGCTGGGGCCCTGAGCTGGGGCCTGATCTCTGCAGGCCACCCCGAGGGACTCCATCAGTGCACGAATTCGTGCACCGGGCCTCTAGTTAAGTAATACTTGAGTAAATCAAATTTAATTGAAAGAGAAGCCTATATTTAGATTTCTGTTTCATAATTCAACCCAGTTTTCTTTGCATGCAATAAGTAATAATTATATATCATAAGATTTCCCCCCTTTCATCATAAAAACATATTCACAACCATAATCTCATCAATGGCAGACAGAGAAGGACCCTTTACCTCCTACTCATTATTCTGGCTCACTAACTGGTCCTCTCACTGCTTTCAGTCTAAGCAACTCTCTGTTGCCCGTTAGTAGGGTACCTTGGGTATTTATTTAATTTTCTTCAAAGAGAATTTCATTTGGCTGTGTCTACATTTTTTCTTTGTCAATAATTTGCTTGTCTCCACATACCTTTGTTTTCTAAGATAAAAGAGGAAATTATCCGATCCCAGTCTTCATTCTTGGTATCAAGCAAAACCAGGATCAAGTCAAATCGACTTAAGAGTGGGCTGCCAAGGGCGATGTTCACAGACACAGACTCATGCGGGTCATACTGGCCTTTTGGGTTAGTTGCTGCCAGGATGGTGGTCCTTGTGTTCAGCTTGCACACGAGGCTACCAAAAGAGAGGGTACAATTCACTGACTGTTGAGATTCAAATAAAAAGCAAGATTAAACTTGTTAATGAAAAGGGCTGCTCTTGCATCTTGAAAATCTAGAGAAACTCATGTAAAAGAGAATGTGGAATGATATAAGGATGTATCACAAACACCAAGTTCAACCCAGTACATTTACACCAGCCTATCTTGTAGAGAAATAAGTGCTCATCAACATTTTTCATAACACTACTATGAGCACACCTTCTGCTGGGTGCTAAGAGTCATACAAAGTAAACCAAACATGGATACTGTCTTAAGGAGCTTG